CCTTCCCTTCCCTTCCCTTCCCTTCCCTTCCCTTCCCTTCCCTTCCCTTCCCTTCCCAGTTTATCAGCCATTCTCAGGTTTTCAGTGGTGCCACCTTTTCATCTCTTCCCTCTCAGGAATGACTGGTTATAAAAAGGAAGGGGGATTTAACTTTTTCTTCTCTCTCCCTGCAGTTCCAAAAAGATGCAAAGGATGCACAGGACCTTCTCAGAAAAGTAGATACAGATCTGGACCAGAAATATAGCCCAGATTTCAAAGACCGGTACCAGATTGAATCTTTGTTGCATGAGTTGGAGGCAAGTATTTATGGAGGAGAACTGAGAGATATTACTTTGACAAGCTTGGAGGACGGAGGTCAGTGAGAGGAAGGAGAACATCTTGATTGCACATGGCACCCTCATGGAGGGTGGCAGACCCTTGTGTTGGGGAGGAGGAGCAGAAAGCTGCTACCAAAGCAGACATATAGCCATGCATTCCCCCAATGAGTCCAGCTTCTGGCTTAAGTATGCCTTGACCAGAATAAAGTTGGAAAAAATGGAGTGAAACAGCAGCAGTTTGGGGGAGGCGGATCTGATCCATGGGTTCCAAGCCACCAAGAATCTATGCGGCACACTGAGCTATGATTGTCTAGTGTGCAACCCCTTTTTGAATACATTCCTTTTTATCCTGGATGGTCTGCATCTTCTAAGCCAAGCTATGCAGAGGTCAAGATATCATTTCATTCAGTTTGTCCCTCCAGCAACAAGGCCAAAGAGAATTTGCTGTCCACCCCACTTAAGAGAAATGGCATATGTCCTCTTCTCTGAAAATGAGTCTGCAGTCATTGTCTCCAAGTTATTGTCCCCTTGGAGTGTAGCACTACAACACTCTCATCCTTGACCAATGTGGAAATCGTCCATGCTGGACTGAGATGTGATGGGCTTGTGGTCCAATTCATCACACAGAAGATGGTCCAAACAGGTTCTTCCTTTGCTCCAGAGCACAGGACAGAACACAATGGATGAAAGTTACAAGACAGCAGAGTCTGAATGTGTGTTAGATCTTCCTGAAAGGAAGAGCAATTGGACAGTGGAATCATTTTCCCAGCAAGATGACACCATTTTCATGGAAGTATTCAAGCAGAAGATGGAAATCCACCAATTGGGGATGCTTTGCTTTAGATTGCTACCTTAAGCAGGGAGATGGGCTGCATGGTCCCTTTCAATTCTGGGATTCTGGGATCTCAAGGGAAGATCTCGCTTGGATCTAGAATTAATGTTGATCTTTAATTCTTTTAATAATTATTATTATTGAATTAAATTCATTCATTCTGATTTTATTGTTCGTATGTCTCGTGTTGCTGGAGTTGGGTGGCCTAGAAATGAGAGAGCAAGAGAGATTTTCTGAGTTTAATCACACAGATTGTTTCTCTCCTCCCCCATGGACCCATTCTGGAGATACTTAGCCTACAAACACATGTATTTTGTTCACAACAGGTGTGTCAGGTGCATACAACTCTCTAATTAGCTCACGTTGCCTCCCACCAACTTCCTATCAATCACCGTAGTGCCGGGAATAATTCTCTTCTCTCCACCTTGCTTTACAGCAGAAATTAGGGAAATTGGGACCTACTGAGAGATCTGTCTGATATACATCATATCAGCAGAAACACTACAGTGGGGTTCTCCCAATGCCCTGCGCTGTGATGTACTTGTGGGAGTCCCCACACAGTGCTGAGTCCTAATGGATGGGAATCACCATCAGGGGAAGCGGAAAGGAGAGGGACCCCATTATACCAGATCAACCACAAATTATAATAATGGATATAATAATGAATTTATACCTTAGCGTTCTAGGTCAACCAGTCTGGTCCTGGTGCTCCTCCTGTCCTAAATTTTGGGAAGAAAGTTGGAGTAGCCAGGCATGAATTTTACTATGGGTTTTACATTTAGTTCTAGTTCTGAAGTCCCAGGGTTCAGAATGATGTAATTCTAAGACAAATCATTTACATCAACGTCTCTGATGGATCTTGGGACTGAATAGCCCAGTAGTTTACACAACCTTGACATCTGCCCACTCCTGGGGTCAAAGGCCCACCACATAGAGGTTGGTTTGGGTCAAACCAAACTTGGATATAAGTGTCTCTGTGTTCCTCTAGCTGCTCCATCTCAATCTTCCCCTTCCCTGCTGAGCCTAGAATCTTTGCTTGCTTCTCTTTCAGGACCAAGAAAAGGCTTTGGATAAGTATGAAGATGTGATCAGCTCCTTACAAAAGCGCAGTCAGCAGGTTCTTCCACTGAAGTATCGACGAGAACCTCCCCTTAAGCCCATCCCTGTGGAGGCACTTTGCGACTATGAAAATGAGCAGGTAAGAGAACCTGGTCCTCTGGCTCTGCACACACATCCACCTGCAGTGGGACGTGCCTTGCAGATGCATCCACAACAGCAATTGACACTGGAGACTGACTGCTGGTGGCATCACAGACACTTTGTCAAAGTGTCGCGGGGCAGCATGCTCATATAACCAGTTAGGTTGTGACATGCTACATTAACTTGACCCCTAACGAATGCCGATTAAAGGAGATGGGAGTTGTGGTCTGTCACATCTGAAGGACCACCGGTTGACCTTCATTAAGGTTCTTCTTTTCATTATTTTTGCCATACATTTCTTAAATCATTTATATTTTTGTTCTTTGTTTACTAGACCCCTGCATAATGTGAATAGAAACACTGCCCTGTCCAGTAACTCATTTGCTTTGCAAATGGGCTCTTTGTATATTATTTGATTGATAGACTATATTTTTAGAGCGCTGGATGCAGATTCCCAGATGGAGGAGTACAAAGATAGCCCTGACAGCTTTCAAGATTCTGTTATGATAACCAGTATCAAAAAAGAAGAGTTCTATATTTCTTGAGGTGTCTGTTTCCCACCTGGTCTACCTTAACTTCCTACCTCCTACCTGACATCAATCTTGAAGGCCTGAGAGCATTTCTCTTTCCCTCCCTCTTGTACCACAGAGAGTCAAGATGCTGCAACCTTGAGTTTCTTCCTCACCCTTTCCTATCTTTCCGGGCTAAGTTCATGTTTTCCTAATGGCTGCCCCATATCTTCTTCAAGGCTATCTCTGTACTCCTCTACACCAGCTCAGTTTTGCTGGAATTTTGCATGATTGAGGATTACAAGCAGAAGCCATTCCCCTTCCTTGTTACAAAAGAACCAGGACTGGATATAGGCTGTTTTTTACACAAACCTGAGCTATGATTTATCCACATCCCAAGAGGCTGCAAGGATCGGGGACAGAGGGTTGGAACAGACAACAGATTTATACCAAAGCTTTTCTGTCTCAGTGCCAGGTCTCACGTGGTTACCGATACACTCTGCACAAGAACAATGGAGACCTCTGGGAAATCACCGACAGCGGAGGAAATGTAGTCCGTGCCCCTGGGGTCTGTTTCATGATTCCTCCCACTGATCCTGAATCACTCGCCTTTGCTGACAAGTAAGAATTTCTTGACCTAGCTTGCATCCACACAAGCCAAAGGTGAAGTGTGTGGATGGCTTCCATGATGGTTCAGGCAAGGGCCTTTCTTCCTCCTGTCCAATTCTCACATTCTTTCCAAGCCCATGAGTGTTCTTTGCCCAACTGGTTCTATGTCCTTTCATTCTACAGCATTGCTGGCCAATATCAGTGTGTGAAACAGAAAACTGCTGGCACAAAGCATCTTCTGCAGGAGCGCTACAATAGCCTGAAGGCAGAGGGCATTGGAGGTGGGTGCACCATAAGATGTGTAAGGAGAGCATGGGTCCCACTCACAATGGAACCATGCTCTCAGTTCTTCTGTTATTCTTGGTAAGCATGGAGGCACAACCAACTGAAAGACAACTTAGGGTTCTTCTGGCTCACGGTCAGGTTCTGTGCTGAAAAACCCAACAATTCTGCCACCTCCAACTGCAGTTCTGTGATAGCTCTAAGTTATCAAGGGTGAATGTATATGTTCAGGTCCAAACAACACATTACACTTAATGCATAGTATGTAGTTACGTTTTCTTTTTGGATAATTGCAGAGTGAAGTAGGGAAGGGACAGCAATATTTGGAGGAAAAACTTAGACCATCCCATCGTAACATTCTTGGAATGAAAGTTTTGCTCTTTTCCTGGCTAGAAAACTTAGAAGAAAGGTCCAACTTGAGCTGAAGGGATCTTCTAACCCCACCCCTGTCTCCCTTTATGTGGCTACCCTGTTTTTTTGTAGTTCAGATATATTCCTATTCTTAAACTGGCAGGGTGGGGGAGGGACATTTCCTGTACCAAACCCATCTTCCTTTTTCCCCAATTGATTACCCAGAATTGAAATATGATGAACCAAACCCGTGACATTGTGACATGCCAGCAGGCCTTGATGATTGGGAAAGGGGGGTGTGGACCATTCTTTGCCCCCTTCCAGAAACTTGTTGCAAACTATTTTTCCCCCAAACTTCCTCTTTCTGTTCCAGATGTGGCATCTGTACAGGGACGGCAACTGCTGGCGGAGCTGGAGAAGGTGAACAGTGAGCTAGATAAGCAGGAGAAGGCCATCACTGCAAACCTTCGTCCTCCTCTAGAGCAAAGTAGGGCGGTGCAAGATAGTGCGGAGCGCTCCAAGGACCTTAAGGTAAAGGCAGCTGAGGTCAGGGAAACGTCTGCGCAGACCTCTCCCCACCCCCACCCCCACGGGATTGATGAGAGTACCAATATTTGCAAATGCTTTGGTACACTGGATATGAAAAAAAATGATACTTTTTTGGAGCAAAGCTGAACAGACTGTAGCAGAAGACAGGTGAGAGGTGGGCTGTGTGGCTGTAAGGAAGCAAAGAATCCAGAAAATGGCAATTAGACTTGGGCTAAGCCAAGGTGGGACAGAACCTGAGATAAGCAGGACAGAAGCATTAATCTTTCGTTCAATTGCAGACTTGAGTAGGACAGTACCATGGAGACCTTCCCCAGCTGGTTAGGACATTATAGTGGTACTGCCCTGATCACTATTCATTGGCATATCTCACCTTTCCCCTTCCAAAACACCTCTGCAGAATGTTACCAATGTGATCCGGCGCATTGAGCCAGAGAAAAACTGCAAGATCCAGGAATGTGAAGTCTTCATCGAGTCGATGCCTGATGCCAGTGGTACCACCTTGGTGAAGAACAAAGTAGAAGAGACAAACAACAAGTACAACTGGGTTGTCCAACTTCTCAGTGCTGCTCAAGAGAAGTAAGTGCCTGTCCTCTCCTGCTGTTTCTCCAAGACAAGAATTCACTTGGTGCCTCCGAATCCAGGTCTTTTCCTCTCCATGTCTTTCTGACACATTGGCCTGCTATCTTTGAGGACTTTGCAAGCTCTTTTGATGGCATGTGTGCTTTGGGGAGAAGATGCCACAGCTCATCAGCAGAACCTTTGTTGTTGCGCATAGAATGTCACAGTTTCCATCCCTAGTATTTTTGGGTTGGATGGGAGAAGCTTCACCAGAGCTGCTTCTCATGTACCATGTAGGGACCAACCTTTTCCAACCTGGCACATTCCAGATATGATAGGCTATTACATCATTCCCACTCAGGAGCTGGAGTCCAATCCATCTAGAGAGGAACGGTTGGGAAAGGCTGGTGGAGGCTGTAGTGAACAACCTGATTTGCATACAGAATGGCCCAGTTTGCATGATGTGCTTGACTGGGCCAAGGTGGGAGACTAATGTGTCATATGAACATTCTGATCTAACCAGCCATGACATGATGGGGGTAAGCTTTTGGAATGTATTCCCCCATTAGATGTGTGTGAACAAGACTAAGAGGCTTAATAGACCATTAACCTTCTATGCCAGCTTTCAAGACAGAGGCAAAGTCCTGGAGAGGGCCTACAACAATGATTGGTCTAGGAATTCCATTATTTTTCCATTTCATCCCCCCATAGCAACACGGAGGAAAGGGAAGGGGCAGAAAGGAATAGCAAGGCCCCACTATATCATAAGGACACCAACCTGGGCCACTATGGTTTATTTTTTTAATTTTGTTTGTTGAAATGGGAAAAAAAAGGGCAGGATGTAACTCTCCTTTGTAAAGGCAAGAAGGGTGTAGCAAATGATGCAACATGAGTGATTGGGACACCCACAAGTTGCCCTGGGTCTGAACATGTGCAGTGACTCCTGAACTGCAAATCTGGAAGAGCAGTTTTAATCAGTGGACTTAACTCCAATCTAGATGGACCAGTTGTTAGACTCCATAGAAGATGAGGTTCTTGGTTCCTGTGATTATGAAAAACTGGGGACCATAGGGTGGGCGATGCAGAGTCAGGACATAGCTCAGCTGTAATCCATCTGCTCTGCAACTCTTGAACGATGAAACAAGCAGTGTGAGGTCATGATGCTCCCCGTTCATGCTTCACTGCAATGTTGCATGTTGAGACACACATTTCATTGCTTGATTCCTCACCCATGCAGGACCTTGTTCAATCCCATCTCTCCAGTGGAAAGGATCTTGTAGCGGAAGATCCTAAGATAAACAGCCCTGAACTAATGACAAAAGCAGCCTTGCCTATTCTTGCAAAAGCCCAACCATAACCCCAAAGCTTGTTGGTTGAAACAGATTTCCTTTAATAACATTTAATACCTTTTATGTAATTGGTACTGAATTAGGTTAATCTACAGAAGAACAGCTGAGCTCTCAGACCTGGGACACAGTAGAAGTGAGTTAGATGCTAGTGATGCTGTGGAAAACGAGCAAGCTAGAAAGAAAAGCTCTTCAAGGGGAAGAAAGGGGGTGGTGGGTGGCCCCTTTAAGCCCTGTTCTTCCTCTGCTGGAAATTTGGCCCAAGGCCACTGCCTGAATTGAAAGTAAACCTTCTTCCTGAGCACGGATCTCTGAGTTTTCATAAGCATCTCTAGGATGAATGGAAGAATGTTACAGGAATTCCTGCAAGTGGACCTTTTAGAACCAAAATATGTCTGTATATGTTAGGCTGGGGATTGCTCGCAATCTTACAGTGTAACCATAAAGAGGCTGCTTTTTTCTCAAATATTGGTGTGGGGGGATGTATGTGTGTGTCAGGTGTTATGGGTTGCTTAATCGTCACTTGAATCCTTCTCAGTCAGAGAACTATGTCTTATATGGAGAGACAGAATGAATTTGCTGGAGTTCCTGATCTGTGACAGTCAGGTGGCCAGTGAGAAGAATGGGAGAAGCTGTCAGCCCTTTGAAGTAGGCCAAGTCAGGAAACAGACATCACAAGGATTATAGGAATGTTACTTGATTGTTGTGGGGTATCGTAACAGAATCTTTATGGTTGTAGGGTATCGTAACAGAATCCTGAACACCTGCCAGAATTTTCCTCTGTTCCCTTTTATCCTAAATAGAATCAAACTGGGGTTGTTTTGACTTTCTCATGCCTAGCCCTTTCTCAGGGCTGATACATCTTTTATTTTTCCTCCTGCACACTTTCACCAAGGTTATCTCTGCATTCCTCTACCCAAGCTTCCATTAGTGGTGAGAGTTGCAGGTTCTCAACATGCTTGTTAGAATAAAATAGTAAACTCTAGATGGGATGGACATTTATACATGTGCACACCGGCTTAACTGGGACTTCTAGCTGAAGGAGATGGGGTGAGAAGAAGAATGGACAATTCTGTCCACCTGTCCTTACAGGGTTGATGTTGCCAATCACCTTGAGAAGATCCTGCAGCAAGGGAGAGACCTGCTTTCTGGCTATGAGAACAAGCTGGCCATCGAAGACACAATTCCAGAGGATATTCATGCCCTGGAGCGCAAGAGGGAAGAATTGCTGGTGAGTGTCTGTGTCTGGGAGAGGAGGATTTGTTTCAAACACCAGAAGGAAGGAAACTATCTGGATCAATGAAGGAAATCTATTGAGGTTGGGTGGCTTAGTTCTTAGTTCAGAAACCTATAGGAGCTGAATGTGGAATGAAGCCTTCTTCATGCTGGTGTCCTTCAACTCCAAAGACAACATGGCCTTTTGAGATTATAGGAGTTGCAGCCCAACACAGTTGGAAGGCTGCAAGATGGAGCAGGCTTGTCTGGTTGTGTGTCTTTGTACATGTACATATATATACATTGCAAAGACCCTACAAATGAATCTCCTGTATCAATCAGCATTCAGCTTCTAATGTTCCCCTGGGCATCATTCTTCAGCTAAAGCGTGGAACAAAAGAAGATCCACATACCAGAAGGTGTTTTAATTTTCCTAGCTTTGTGTGACTCCTAGATCTGTATCTTAATTTATTATTTGATACATTTCTGCCTAACCTTTTCTTGGAAAGGCAGAGTACAACTGGCTGCAAGGTGGTGAATGCTTGTGAGATCCTCTGTGACTGGCTGGTGTCTGAGTAAACATGCATAAGAATTCATGTGTTTTTCACCATTGAGTTGAGTGGAAGTCACAGTCAGCTGAGGCTTCCATATAATTCATGTCTATTAAACATTTACTTACATCGTGGTGTTTTTGTTTGCTGCGGCCCCTTCAGCATGCATTCTCTTTTGTCTTCACCCACTTTGAGTGCAGTTTTCTACATGCCATAGAAGAGAGAAGGCCCTTGGCCGAAATAAAAGATTGTAAGAATTTTCTGCCCAGGAGTTTGCTAAGAGCTGTCCTCCTCTTCCTCCCAGGCTCTGCGTTCTGAACTCCAGGTCCATCAGCCGCTATTCAACGAGGCCCAGCAAGACTTGGAAAAGGCCAAGAGATGTTCCAGTACCTTGGCGAGCCAGTTCCACGAACACTGCCCAGATATTGAGCGCCAGGAAACTGAGCTCCATAAGCTCAACCAACGGTTTGGCAGCCTCAACAAGCAGTATGATTACAGGTCAGGATGAGGGTAGGGGGAAGTCAGGGGGTGATCAAGAGGGAACTGGGGGAAATGAGAGGATGGACTAACAAATGGGCAGGAGAAGGGAGCACCTGTTGAATAAGACACCAACATGTGTCCTCCCGTTTTCTAAATGTTTTCTTCTCCTATTTTGTTTTTCTGCCTCATTCTTAAGGTGCTTTAGAATGTCATGGATGTTGTATCCTCTGTGGTTGCAAGGTGGTGAAGTGGGTTATTAGCATTCACTGTGTGTTTCCCACTCCCTTCATGCGACTCTTCCTCTCACGCCTGCTTAGCTGCTTTGGTTCCTGACTTGGAAAAGCCCCATGAGTTCCTTCTTGATCTCTCCTTGGGATTTCATGGAATTGCATGAAGCTAGGGAGAGTGATGGAGCAATTATTATGCAGTGAAAGGCAGGACATTTATCTCTAGCCCATTTTGTAAGGAAGGCAAATCCCAGCTCTCCACACCCGTATTAAGAATGTCACAGAATTTTTCTGCAGGGGGTGGGGCTGAGGTTGTAGGAGAACAGCAAGGAAGAAAAGGCAGAAGAAAGTTTTGGCACGGTCGTAAGCTGAACCTTCATTCTTCTAGGATCTAGAGCTTTACCATAGGATGGTTGGGTAACAAATCTTCATGAAACAATGATAACTTAAAATTCATTGGAAGGCTGTTGACATTGGAAGGCTGATTCATTAAGGCTGTTGAGTTTCAAGGAATGAAGGTGAAGCTGCAACAATAGCTCTTCCAAACCAGTGGTGTGCCACCTCCCTTTCCAGATCCCAGGTCCTGCAGAAAGCAAAATCTGCCTATTCCAACTACCGCGCTGGCTATGAAGGACTGAGACATTTTTTTGAAAACATCCCCAACTATGAACCTCAAGAAACTGACCACCTCTCTCACGTGGAAGCCAAGCTGAAGAAACAACAGGTAATCAGACTGCTGGGAGGAACTGCAAAGATTGTACAGCACAACCCTGTGCAGTCTATTGCATTAAAAAAAACAACAACTGTTGCTGTGCCTTATATAGATCCTGGGTTCTAGCTGAGTGTTGTCAGCAAAGGTTAGAAGCAATTTCCAGTTTTTTCAGTCCGGACTTTTCCAAACACTTCCTGGAGAGGCCAGGAATTGAATTCTGGACCTTCTGCAGCCAAGCCACATGTTCTTCTGTTGAATGATGGCCCAAAGCTAGATACAGATCCTAAAGGGGGAAGCTTAAGCAACAATGATTGAAAGGAAGGGCAGGCATGTTCATATATCTATATTGACTGATTATGTGTGGTCAATTGGTGTTGACTCTTGGTGACCTATTTATTTATTTATTTATTTATTAAATTTATTTATTTATTTATTTATTAGATTTATATGCTG